GGTAACCAATATGGTTTGGTAAAATACAAAATATATTCTTTCATGTTCCACAGAAGGGTGAGGAACTGATCACATAATTTATAAGCAGTAAATTTCCTGCAATTCTAGCTCAAAATCAATGCTTTACTGTCAAGTGCATTTCTATGTGACAAAAATGCATTATTATATTGCATTTGTTGCATTTGCCTTGAATTCAGTAATATCTATAATTTTTTGGGTTCTGTCCTGTTTTATTTATTCATTTTTTTATTCCAATTGAAGGCCCTATAACCCACCAAAACATTCACAGGGGACTTTGTGGGCTGGGTGGGCTTGATTTTAACCCCCACCCCCCAAGGTGACCGAACGTGATTTTGAGGGGGCCCTATAGCAAATTCAGTGCACAGGGCCCAGAATTCCTAGCGACGGCCCTGACTGCCAATTTACCAATGAACTGCCGTCTAGTGGATATGACAAGTACTGCAGGGCAAAGATGCGTTGTTGTATTGTGACACGTTTTGCTGTGAAATAAATATTTACTTTTATTCAAATTGATATATTGTCATTATTTTTTATTAACATTTTTTTTTATTAACAACGTATATTTACTGTTGGTTTGTTTATTTATTTTATTGTTGGAAGCAAAACAATCACGCCAATAAAGTACTTTGAAATTGAAAAATAAAATCATTCATATCCATATACAGTTCAGACACACTCTCTCTGTTTAAATCTAGATTAAAGACACATCTCTTTGGCCAAGCATTCAAATAATGCATCTCATAATCTTTTACTGCAGTCATAATCTTTTACTGCAGTTATATCTAATCAAATGCACATTATTATTCGTTAGTTTGGGTTAAACAAATCATTTTTGCTTGGTTGGAACAGCAGCTACGCTAATTATGTTTGTATTTGTTTCTCTGTCTTTTGCCACGGGATTAACATCCCGTGGTAACTAGGATTCACACAAGCTTCAGTCTGGATCCAGAACACCTGAGAAGAGAAGATGCAACCCCTCAGAGGACCTCAGATGATGCCAACCCTGAAACAACATACAGAACTACCACATTTTGCTATAAATTTGATTGCATCATATAATAATTGCTGTTAATATTATTCATCGTCTGTTTTATTACGTCTTATATTGATTTTTCCGTTCTGCTGGTTCGTCTGGTCAGAGGAAAACTGGCCCCCCGACTGAGCCTGGTTTCTCCCAAGGTTTTTTCTCCATTCTGTCACCGATGGAGTTTTGGTTCCTTGCCGCTGTCGCCTCTGGCTTGCTTAGTTGGGGACACTTCATTTCCAGCGATATCGTTGACATGATTGCAAAGATATTATTTAAACTGAGCTGGATGTTGACATCACTGAATTCAATGATGAACTGTCTTTAACTGAAAAATGAGTGTTTACTATTGTCATTTTGCATTATTGACACTATTTTCCTAATTAATGCTGTTCAGTTGCTTTGTCACAATCTGTATTGTTAAAAGCGCTATATAAATAAAGGTGACTTGACTTGACTTGACATATACGCATCAAGGTCTAATTCAACTTTATACAATAGGCTATATAAATATGTGATGATCTATTTATGGGTGATGTGCATTGTTGCAAACTCAAACCATAACACAACATACGCAGCATAAAGCAAATAGGTGAAATATATTCACTGCTGCCCTCGATCTCGCGCGCAAACGCACACCTCTGACTATGTTCTCAGACACTCATCAGCGGCACCCGATGTGGCCAATGTCCGTAACGCGCATTATGTCTGCATTAGTGATGTCTGCATTAAGTCACGGAGCCGTGGCTCTTTGAGACGTGGGTGTGATGAGGCACCGGTCATTATTCAGGTAATGTGGGCTGTTTGATCCATCAAGCGCTCATGCGATGACGCTCGCGCGCGCAGTGACCGGGGAGTCTCGCGCTGCTCGTTAAAGACTCATTTCAACATGCGCTCATCATTTTTTATCTCATGAGAGAAAGAATTGCATCCGTCAAATGGAGAAAGGATAGCTATTTTAGTGCCAAAATAAAAGGGCATTTCAAACGCCTGCAGTACTTCAAAAGACTCTTAAACCCATTTTCATGTATGCTGTCCTCCAAGATAAAACGCCAATATAGTCATACTTGTTTTAATAATATACTTGGATAAAACACACACGGAAAATAAAATCAAACTGACAGCCATAAGTCAACTGTTGTCCAGTTGTTTTGCTTTTCATATCAATTAAAAATGGTGAAAGTCTATAAGCACACGTGACAAAATGCATGAGTCACACCAAAAACAAGAGCGCTTCTAATTAATTTTATTATAGCCTAACAAAGACCTAAAACCCCGACATTAAACATTTAGTTTCAATGCATGCACACCAAATCTAGGTGACTGATCTCGGACCAGCCTCCTCCAGTCCTAAAATAACTCAACACAGACCAAAACACATAAAGGAGGCGGAGAGTTGCCTGTCTGTATGGAATAAATGAGTTTTGTAATAGTTTTGAGCTTTGCTGAAGTGGAGCTGCTATCATACACACACTCTCTCGCTTGCTCTACCTGCGCAAATCCAGCCACCATTTCATCAGGGGATCGGATTGCCACGGCCTATGGAAAGTCAGACACATCTACACATAGACTTGAGTTTATGGCCGTCAGTATCATCACCCTGTTTTTGCGCATGGAAAGGATTTTTACGGTTTAGCGAGTCTGACCCCCATAACATACACACACAAATATATATATATACCTGAATATATATTTAGCCTATATATCTTAATCAATAAACAGATGCAGAGACTTAAATGGTAAACACTGGAGTTATCAAAACGGCCTGTTTGAGCATTCTGACCAGTAACAGTGGCTGAACCAGTGAGTTTGGGGCGGGACTATTGGTTTGTGTGACCAATGACAGATGGGAAGTGTTTGGGGAAACCTGCTTGGAAACAATCAGTATTTGTATGCTCCTTCTCAGCTTTGCAATGTCCGTGGTTTTCCCGCGGAATTGGGCTACACTGTTACTGTGGGTTAAAGGTTTGACATATTTCATAGATTTTATTTGATGGAAATACTTGTTTGAATGAATTAGCTCTCACTAGTTTATATTTTACTAATGATAAAACTGATATATAACTGTTAGGGAGCCAGTGAGCAGAATTGTATGACAAGGACCAAGAAGAAGAAGGTATGCATCAGAACAAGAACTTAAAACTCTAAATATCTGTCAATCTTAGGGTAAGATGATTTTATGAAAACTGACATCATATGTTTAGGTGTGTGTGTATATATATATCTCACTACTATATGTGTGAAGTTGACATTTTCATGTAATGCATACCAGTGGCTGTAAAATATGTGATTTAGGTATGGGAGTGGCATATTTTGTGTTTTGATATTGCTCTAGTTTTGGGCTGGTTTTTATGCAGATAGCAGCCCTGCTAGTTGAGTAAAAATTTCACCTCAGCTTTAAAAAAATAAGAAAAAAAACATTTGAGGAATCTGAGGAGTGTCTACCAGTTCAACAAAACAAGGCCAGCAGTGTTGCCAAATCTGCTTAAGTGACTTTGAGCTTGTTTTTTCCCCCAGAAGTTGCTTTTGCTTAGATTTGAGCAGTCATGGGTTGCGTTCTTGGGCATATTTCTATAATACAATTACTTATTTGGGCATATTAGTGGTTGCCTCTCATAGAACAAAACATATGACGACTTAATCATTATTTTGTGTGTGACAATGTTTCTCTGTCTGTTCCCACATACTGACTGGAACTTCTTTTACCAGTCTATTTTGATATTTAAATAATTTGATTGCAGCGTCTTTATGTCATTACAAGCTGCTTTTGATGAAACAATAAGACTTTTCTTAAATAATACAACCAGGGGTCATCTGTTTTGGGCTTAGTTTTTCAGACTGGGTTGCTTATTTTGGACTTGTCTTTCAGGCCAGGTCACTGAAAGACAGGTAACAAACTAAGCTGGCAATGATCAACTAACGAAAATTGCCAGAAAATTCAATAATACATTGATTTCTTCCAGTCTGTGAAATGTTAGCTATGACTGATTAAATGCAGCAAGCTTCCACACGACTAATTAAATAGTGATTCGAACAATCTCAAGAGGTATAGAGACCCCAAACCCACAATCTCCTTAAAACAAAAGATCAAAAGACCTCTCATGACCTTTCATACTGTTCTTCTGTGCTTAGTTTGATATTTGGATCTGTGATAAGGAATTCAGCTCACAGTGACACTAATAATAAAGTCTGAACAAAAGTCTGATCAGGGCAAGACAGCTCAAAAGTTTGCCTCTGACAGGTGTTGTGTCTTCATAGGTTTTCATGGGGACTTTTCTCAGGTCTGCTTGAGGCCAAAATGAATTTTTCATGTATGACCAGAGGGCTGTCCCGCTTCTACCAAGCAAACTTAGTGTAATATCCTGCCTACATATCCGAGGCCAGAGAGAGACATGAGAGGAACTCTGAGCTACTGATGTTCCTGCATGCATGTTCTTCCCTTTCTGTCCTTCAAGCAATTCAAGTGTGTGTGTGTGTGTGTGTGTGGCCCGGCGGCTGTCGGCGGTGACTGTCACTCACCTACGCCCCACTTCACACCCTAGTCGCCCCCCCAGTGGTCACCCGGGAAACCGCAGGCTGCCCAGGCTGGCGCCAGTCCTCTCGCTGAGCTGATCAATACTGCAGCATTTCCTGCCCATTCACTCAGGTCACACACTCACCTCATTAATTATTACTGCCAACACTGCTGCTGGAGCACCCCGGGCACCCACAACACACACACACACACACACACACACACACAAAAACACACTCTCAAATTGTCATTGGTTTTCGGACAAACATTTTGGTTAATGCCACCCCCTATAATACCAATACGTTTCTCTATGGTCACGAATCAACTTACAGTGATATCAGTAATGTTTGTTTGTCTTCTTTAAAGTGGTGTATAGAAATACTGACTTCTGTTAAATACTTCAGGGAATCGTAGAAATTTTAGAATAAAGAGAGACATTGATTTTTTTCAAAAAGACATCTCATTTTATTTTAAAAGATAAAGCTGATTTGTTGGCTAAATGCATAAAGTGTGTATGAGTTCGGTAAACTCGACTGTGTGCGACACAATCAGTTCCACATAAAAATCATCATCTGTAGAGCAGGTGGGGACCGCAAACACTCCAAAGCAAGTCCTCTTAAAACAGCACCCAAAAAAATCATGATCAACCTCCAGCATTAATCAACTGCATCAAACGAAACTGGATTCATATATACATCCAGATTGAAACCATCTTCAGAACTTGGTGACCGTGCATGCCATGTTTTCCAGTGCCGACCGAGCTTCTGAAGGTGGGAAGCACTTCATGGCCTCTAAGGCCTTGTTGCCGTGGTAACTGCACAGGTCAAGTGCCTGGCTCACGCCTCTTTCCGTCTTTATCAGGCCCCGGAGCTGGAGAACACGCAAGAATGAGGAAACATTTTAATATCACTCCATCAAACTGATGTAGGAAATGTAATATTCTTTTAACCAAATTTTGAGGCAAGGAACCATTTGAAACAGGCAATTTCTACAGATTAACAGGGTTTGCTTGCAAAACAAATGAGAGTAACACTATAATAAGGTATAATAATGTGATTGGCATCAATAACAAACAATAAATACTTCTACAGCATCTTGGTTAAATGTTAATTTGTACATACAGTAAAACATTTTTAATATTTCTAAATATATAAATTAAAATGAGTTAATGTAGTATGTGTGAACAAATTAACTGAGCAATAAAACATTTATAAATTAAGATTAACTTAAATTAATAAACAGTGTAAAAATGTTGTTCAGTGTCAGTTCATGATACCTTTTGCATAAACTAATGTTACCAAATATAATCTATTATTTAAAAGAATACACTAATATTCAAAAGTTTGGGGTCAGTAAGATATTTTGATGTTTTTAATTCTGCTTAATGTTTTTGTGTAAATTGTGATGTTTTTTTAAAGATTCTATTATGAAAAGTTAGTTAAAAGAAGATTTGTGTCTTCAAAGTCACTTTTGATCAATTTATGCATCCTTATTGAATAAAAGTATTAATTTCTTTCAATAAAATCTTATGGGCCATAAACTTTTGAACAGCAGTGTATATTATCAATATATTATTAAAAATATATGATCAATATGTCATAAGTAACATACCAAAATATCACAATAATAAAAAATATACATAATATATTTTTAAACATATAAATTATTATTAAATGAAAACCCAGAGTATTCCACACTCTTCCTCACTCAAATTGTCACAAACAAACATGTTTTGCTGGAGGCCATTTTGCCAAATGAATTCTGGGATGTGTTGTGCTAAGAAGCCCTTGGGGGCCTCGAGTTAAAAACAGCAGAAGAGACCTGCTTTCACTAATGTGCGTGAGAGAAAGCCAAAAACGGAGACGGAGAGAGACGTGGATGTGGGAAAGGTAGATGATGACATCAACTGATTTCTCTTGTTTCTATAGCCACAGTTTTCTTTGACTTCAATATGATCAACAGCTTTGCAGAATATTTTCAGGTTGACAGACAGAGATATGACCTCATGACCCCACCCCCCGAGACACATTTACACCAAAAAACAAACCAGACAGCGAATACTGGAGAGATTAATGTCGCATTTATGTGCTGATAACAGAGATATGTGATGTGTGTGTGTGGGGGGGGGGGGGGATGTGTCTGTCTGTGCCCTGTTGAAGGAGAATCTTGTGTGATGTTGCTGTCAAACTGTCTCTCTGTCTCCTCTACAAATAAACCTGACACTCTATCCCCTAATATCCTGTTTCTACGGCGACCCGAGCTGCTTGTGCCCTCCTCCTCTTCCTGCCCCCTCCCCACCGCCTCTAACTGTCTCCCTTCTTTCTTTCTGTCTTTCTTCTCCTTCTGACTTTGGAAATCTAATTTCTGAACTTGCTATCAGTTACAGAGAACAAACACCTCCTATCGGCTCACTCAGGGCTGATACCACCAATATTCACAGCACTAGTCGATCAATGTGGGGTTTTCAGTGACCGATTCTTAAATTTTTATTTAGTATGCCTCAGATTCACACTTGATTACATTAACTTACGCACATAAATTTCGTTTTTTTTATATGCTATATGCAGACTTTTCATTTCCTTCTACTGTTTTTATACTGAGCAGAGTTTTTATAGTTAACTAAAACTGAAACTAAAATTAAAACCATTAAAAAACCTTGTTACTCGAAATAAAACTTTAATTTTTAATTTCAGCTAATTGTTAAGGCAATATTTCTCATTTTAATTTAGTTTAACTTGATGTATTAAAAAATCATTAAAAACAAACAAAATATATATATAGACATATATTAAAAAAATTATACAAATTACAAAAACACAACAAAATTACGCAAACTTTAACTAAAATGAAAATGAAAACAGAAAATATAAAAATAAATAAAACTGATACTAAGCTAATGATATTTTCTATTCCCTAACCCTTTTTTTGTTTGCTTGTTTGCTTTTTTAGACTTTCATCCACATATTATTTTATATGTTTATGAAGTTATTTTCCTGGAGACTGTTTTTTGTCATATTAATAGGCGATTTAAGGTTTATCTTAAATCTTATAAAAATATATATTTAAATAAGCATGAACAACTTCAAATTCATTTCTTTTTTATTAATCATACATGAATTAACTTCTATTTCTGTTTGTTTGTAAACATCCACATTCACACTGGGACCCTAGGAATGATTTCATGACTCCTGGGGAATCAATTTGTATCATAAATGTAAGAATGTTTCATCAGAAGGATTGTGGCTGAAATCATTGATTAGTGGTTTGACCAGGAGGATTGATTTCTCTTGAATTCGATAGGCAATCTCACTTTTTCATTGGCTAAATGAAAATCATCAATTGATTTAGTCACTTTTACAGTGAAACACAAGTTGTCTGAATAAGTAGACACTAAAATGAGGCAGTCGTTACTTTGTTTTCCCTCTCCCTTAATCAAAAAACAGGAGTCGCTTACCTTTGTGTAATCAATCTGTCTAGCCATATTCTGAACCTGAAATGAAGAGAGAAAATTGTGAATCCAGAGAACGTCATGCTGACACAATGAAATCTGAACCGTAATGGTGTTTTGCTACCAGTCTAGAGGCTAAAATCTTACTGAATCACTTCAATTAATGATAAATACTGAAATATCAAACATAATACAGTAAAACTGGCTTAACTGTCTGCTAGCTGCCTTGAGACATCACATAGCTCACATATATGACTTTTTTTATGTGAAAAAATATATTAAAATTGGAAAATATTTATCCACCATGGTACTACACACTACAGTTCAAAAAGTTTGGGTTGGTTATGTTTTTGAAAGCCAAACCAAGTCTGTATTTATTTGATCAAAAATGCCGTAAAAGCAGTAATTTTGTGAAATATTGCTACAATTTAAAATAACTCTTTTCTATTTAATATATTCTATTCTATTTTAAATATTTATTATAATGTAATGTATTCTTGAGATGGCAAAGCTGTGTTTTCAGCATCAATTTAATGATTTTTTTTTTAAATACAGTAGGTGAGATTCACCAGGTTATTTTACAGATCACACAGCTGCAAGTGTTCTGATATGGATGTCTGGTACCTGTTTTAGCTGGTGCCGCCATCGCTCAGGTCCAACGATCTGTCTGTGGAAGACTACAGGAGCCGAGTCCAAACTAAACACAGACGGTTCTGACCCGCTCTTCACGAACGGCTCTAGATCAGAGTTCAGCTACAAAACACACATATCACACACATTTTTTGAAATGAGCTTTCTACACAAAAGAATGCAACTTGATAAGACAGCATACAGACAAACAGCTTGTGCCCACAATGCACTTTGTGTGACTATTTTACAGATCACACAGCTGCAAGTGTTCTGATATGGATGTCTGGTACCTGTTTTAGCTGGTGCCGCCATCGCTCAGGTCCAACGATCTGTCTGTGGAAGACTACAGGAGCCGAGTCCAAACTAAACACAGACGGTTCTGACCCGCTCTTCACGAACGGCTCTAGATCAGAGTTCAGCTACAAAACACACATATCACACACATTTTTTTAAATGAGCTTTCTACACAAAAGAATGCAACTTGATAAGACAGCATACAGACAAACAGCTTGTGCCCACAATGCACTTTGTGTGACTGCATACACACCTTGTGTCCCAGAGCGAGGTGTTTTCCGTACTGAAAAGCCAAATTCTGAGCCTCATTACCATGTCTGGCCAGCTTCATCGCTGCCTGACAACTCTTGGCAAGCAAAGCACCATGGGACAGGAATGTCTGGTCTTCCCAGGATGCAACTGTTAGACTGCCCTCCTTCAGAATACAGAAAAACTCAATTAAATAAGCATTAGTGTATTATAAATACTGGGATGTACATTATTCTTTAAAACCCTGGGACATTAAGTTTTTTTTTTTTTAAATAAATGTTTACTTATTAGACAAAGATGCATTAAATTGATCAAAATCGATCAGTGACAGTAAGATACTTAAAAAAGATTTATATTCCAAATAAATTATTTTGTTTCCACAAATATACTAAGCAGTACAACTGTTTTCAACATTGATAATAATAAGAAATGTCTTCTGAGTAATGAAAATTCAGCTTTGCCATCAAATAAATTAAAAACATCATAAAATATATTAAACTAGAAAAGAGTTATTTAAAATGGCAATATTTCACAATATTACTGTTTTTGTTGTATTTTTATCAAATAAATGTTGTCTTGTGAGCATAAAAGAATACACTCAAAAACATTAAAAAACAAGTCTTACCAACCTCAGTTTTTTGAAAGGTGTTGTTTTTCGAGATTATTTGGGGAGCTAAAATAGATCATAAACACACCTCAAAAGCACAGAAAATGTATAGAAAACATTGAGACTGTTCAATTCCCAAGCAAGCTGAATGTTTCTAGAAAATTGAAGGATGCCACTTTAAACCAAACAAGAGAACAAAAAAGAAAAATGAAATGGTGGTATGGCGGTAGGGGGTTGGTGAAACTGAAGAAGGGAAGGTGATGCAAATATCTGCTCGGAAACGTCTCCTCTAAAAAGGGTAAAAGAAACTTGAATCTCTCTCTCTCTCTCTCCCTTTTTCTCTCACATAAACGTGGCCTTCTCCATCACTTTTCCTCCTCCTCCTCTCCTCACACAGGAAACTTTGTCATTCATTATTTACTGTGAGCAGTTTGCAGATGTTTTAAGTCAGTCTGTGTTTCGCTTGTTTGGAGATGTTTTGCTTGTCCAGTCTTAGCTCTGTTTTGAAAGCTTAATCTTAGCAATGACACATTTTACGTCTCATAGATGGCACGTGTTTATTAAAGCAATAAACCAGAGAGGTTGTGCTTTACAGTAATTTACATGACTTTGAGCTGTTGCTTTTATAAAATAGGTGACATAATGGGAATATAATAAAAGACAATGTTTCATAAACAGACAATTTTCTGTTCTATAATGTTTTTGAAGGAAGTCTGTAATGCTCTCCAAGGCTGCATTTATTTGAATAAAAATACAGTAAAATATTGTGAAATATTACTACAGCTTTTATATATTTTAAAATATAATTTATTCATGTGATGGCAAAGCTGAATTTTCAGGAGCGTTTGCTCCAGTCTTCAGTGTCACATGATCCTTCAGAAATTGTAATATGCTGATTTAGTGCTCAAGAAAAAAAATTTTTTTTTTGTCAATACAGTTTGTTTCCCACAGAATGCCACTTGTGGCTATATGTGGTAAATGAAGTGGGCTGAACGTCTCTTACCTCTGCAGAAGTGGAGCTCTCGTGATAGATTCCTTGCACCACATCTCCTATTGCACTGGAGATCAGCTCCACCACCTAGAACAAACATAACATTATAACACTTAGGCTAGCAAAATATTTTCCACATAAACGAAGACCCTCAGAATAAGAGTGTTGATAACGAATCAGCCCCATCGGTTCTGAAATTAGTATTTTTTATGACTCGGGCTGTTTGGGAATATGGGAAGACTTTTTTCCAGTCCACTCATTCTAAAAGAGCATCTGAGGGACAGATAGAATAACCCACACTTCAGTTATTAAATAGATGGCCGGTCAAAACAATGCAATGTCCAGAGGATACAGACCTTAATGAGGACTCTGACGTCTGCACAAGCTTATTGATTCAGTTTCTCTCTTTAATACACACAACCACAGAAGTCTACTCCCAGCACAAAAAATACTCAACACCTACAGTACAGAAAATTATCTGATAGTTGAGTGTTGATTGGACTGTTCTCTTGAACTACAAATATGTACATGCAAAATAAACATAAATATAGCCAGTTATATCCCTTGTCAAAAAACTATTTATTCAACCTCATGATAATCCAATGTATGACTTAATTTACGTCTGTGGAACACAAAACTAGTCATTTTAAAATGGCACTGATCAACTATAAAATAATGGCCTACAGTGAACAGTAATCTAAAGAATAAAAAGTCCAATCCTAAAGGATCTCAAAAACGTTTTCATATACTGTAATTCCAACATAAAGCGAAAAACGTGATCTTTTATAATGCAGTTTTTCAAACAGGACTTCTAATTAAAGTAGTCATTTTAGGAAAATTGCATTTTAAAAGATAAAAATGTTGTGTTGGAATTACATCAATTGTTTGCTTTAAACAAGGGCTGTCCAAACTCGGTCCTGGAGGGCCGGTGTCCTGCAGAGTTTAGCTCCAACCCTAATCAAACACACCTGAACCAGCTAATCAAGCTCTTACTAGGCATAGAAACTTCCAGTCAGGTGTGTTGAGGCAAGTTGGAGCTAAACTCTGCAGGACACCAGCCCTCCAGGACCGAGTTTGGACAGCCCTGCTTTAAAGTATCCTTTAGATCATGTAGTAACTATAATGCTCCTGAGGGGGGCGCTACCCCGTTACATCTACTCCACAACAGTCAGCTGGACTAAGTCACTGACAGCTCTTTCTATCATTCAACATGCTTTCTATCATCACATGCTTTCCTATCCCTTCCATCCATCGCCCTAGGCTACATTCTCCACCTATTTTTCACCCTTCGTCGTTCTTTTTCTCTTGTCCCGAAAGTCCTGCCTGTTGAATCATAAGACCACAGGCAGAATCTCCAGGGAACTAGAATAGCAGAGGCCTTCCATCCAGACACTCAGCTATTCCTCATATTTAATATTATGTTACTCCTCTCTATGTATGTGTGTGTGCGCGTGTGTGTGAAGTGGGGGGGCTTTTTTTGGAAAGTATCAGATAAGCTGCCCTCCCTCCGTCTCGTCTCATTCCCAAATCCAGCTGGAGTTATGTTTCGCCGACAGGTCTGTGAGGAGAAGAAAGAGGAGACAGCCTCTCATGGATCCCTTTACCGTTTATACTAGTGTTGAGCCAGAATCCCACTCTCTCTCACTCAAACACACACACAGTCTACTAAGTCAGGATCCCACTCAAGGCCGCGATACATAATACAGATCAATCAGGGGGAAAAAGCGCTTTGCTGCTGAGGGAACGTCTGATTTCCACCGCTAATACTCTCACGCTAACTGAACCGCTAATGCAAAGGGGCCTCGCCCTCATTTACATAGACAGAAGCTTTAAGAGGAAGATGCATTCAGGCGGTTCTGGCTGGGTGAACGTCAGTTACATCAAGGGACTATTAAAAACTGAGCACTTAAAATATATTTTTAATCACTTTTGCTAATTGTAAATTCATCTGTGGAAGTTTGACTTGCAGCTAAAGAGTCAGATCTCTGATTGGCTAGACATCCTGTCATTCATTCACTACTTCAGTGGGTCAGAACAGAGCGTGTGTGGCTTTAATCACGCTTCGCTGAACAACAGCTTCAGTTTCACACAAAAAAGGATTTTTACTCACACTCTCTTCAGTATGTGTGTGTGTGTGTTCACTAAAAACGAGGCTCAAAATGACCTTCTGTCCACAGCTGCTAATGGCGACTGAATTTTGAAAATATATCAATATATATATATTTCTAACCAACCATGAAACTACATTTTGCATATTATTTCTTTTTAATTCAATGTATAGAATTTTTACTTAGTATTAGTGTTAGTGCATATATAAATACTGTGTGAAAGTTTAGGGGTTGGTAAGAACACTTTAGAGTAGGGAACATTTCTCAATATTAACTAGTTGCTTATTAGCATGCCTATTAATAACATATTGGCTGTTTATTAGTATTTATAAAGCACATATTCTGCATTACCATTAATAACTATTAACAACTATTAATAAGCAGCAAATTAGTAGTTTGAGGCAAAAGTCATAGTTAATGTTTTGTTAATAGCGAGAATTGGACCTTAAAATAAAGTGTGACTGATTTTTATTTCATCAAATATAGCAAAAACAGCAATATTACGAAATATGATTACAATTTAAAATGACTGTTTTTTATTTAAAATTTTTTTTTATGTAATTTATTCCTGTGATGCTAAAGCTGAATTTTCATCAGTCTTCAGTGTCACATGATCCTTTAGAAATCATTCTGATATGCTGATTTGCTGCTCAAGAAACATTTCTTATTATCAACTTTGAAAACAGCTGTGCTGCCTAATATTTTTGTGGAAACTGTGATATTTTTTTGTCAGGTTTCTTTGATGAATAGTAAGTTCAAAAGAACAGCATTTATTTGAATGAGAAATATTTTGTTACATTGTAAATATAATCCTTGTAGAATAATTTTTTTTTCTTTAAAAAAAACAAACACACACACACAATTACTGATTACAAACTTTTGAACTGTAGTGTACATGTCTTCATCTGTCTGTTAAAAAAGTTTACATTAGCTAAGTTCAAATATTATTGTTACAGTGTACATCTGTGACAATTTGAGCCAAAATTAGACAGAACCAGACAAAAAAGGTAAAGATTAAAATAATAATAATAATAATAATAATAAATACAACTTTCTTAAATCCTTAAACTAGATTTGAGTCTGCCATTGAGGCATCAAAATTTAGTAAACGGATGAGAGATTTCCACTGTCATCCAGCAGGAGGTGCTATAGAACACGACAATACTTACTCCTAAACCCACTATATTACACTACACAATCTATCTAAAGGGAGTGTGTATTAAATACTCAGACAAAATCAGGTGTGAGTCCCAACTAAGATGTCTGGCTGTCTGAATGCTGAGCTCCTCTTCAGAAACCCCCCCCACAGAATCTGTTATTTATATTAGTCGCCACAATGTGCAGATCATCTAAATGCCCTGCAGTCATTTCCATGTCCGCTCATGCACGCATTAAAGTGGGCTCAAGTGTGCGTGTGTATGTCTGAGGCTATGCAGAAGGAAAAGAGTTTGTTTTCCTCCACGGGGAGAGCTGCATTCTAGAGCCGCACTTGGTGACAGATCCTGTCAGCATACTCCCGCTTAGTGCATCTGTGTGTGTTACCCAGACACAGAGAGATGAAATGTTAGGGTTTGTAGTGCAAATCCCTTTTTACTTAGTCTGTTAATATTATGATATGACAAGTGATTTCCTCTAAAACTGTGAATCCCAGTTTAGGTGTATTTAAAGCAGCACTATGTAACTTTTGGCGCTCTAGCGGTTAATAAACAGAACTGCACACATCCTGCGGAAGAACATTCCAACCAGAGCTACTTCTCTAAGTTTGCTCAACTTCGAACTGCGTCCTCTAGGGGTCCTTTAAGATCTCGCTTTGTGAAGACAGATTTGTGAACAATATTTGAGAGAAATAGGCCTTTTGTGTACATAGAAAAAGTCTTCAATCTTTGAGTTCAGCTCGGGTGCTCGACTTGCAGTGTTTACTTCACTCGTCGATATGATGTCCAGCCGGTATGATAGCCTGGTTTTGGCTTCATGCTTTCTGGATCATGCGGCCAGGTCACAGGCTTCGGCGGGAGCCTTCCTGATCATCAGGCCCCCGGCACGGCACTGCAGAATTTCCTGGGCGTCCGGGCTGGGCTTATGCTTTCAGGCTGCCCTGTCTGGTATACCGTATCTAGGTCACCCTGAGGGGCCTCCTAGTAACTAGGATAACCCCTCTTGCTGAGGCATCGGGCAGGAAGTATAGGTGGCATTTGCGAGAACGTTCTTGTGTAATGCTGTCTCAGGCAGTGCTCCCCTCGCCTTAGAGGGTTGTATTTGAGCTTGCCTCTCCCGTTTGGCTCAGTACTTCCGGGTATCTGTGAACAGATGCTTGGAAAACTCTTAAATCCATACTATGGTAGGTTCACACGTTAAGCTTTGCGCACTTTCTAAAATCCACATAGTGGTAAGTGCACACGTTAAGCTTTGCGCACTTTCTAAAATCCACATAGTGGTAAGTGCACACGTTAAGCTTTGCGCACTTTCTAAAATCCACATAGTGGTAAGTGCACACGTTAAGCTTTGCGCACTTTCTAAAATCCACATAGTGGTAAGTG